ACCGAGATGCATCTGCCATCCCCAGCTCTGAGCTACCCAGCCTTCTGCAGCCAGCAGCAGCAGCAAGCGTGCAGAGGCTCTGTCACTCTGCCTCGGCTGACAGGCCGTAACTTCCTTAAAGACACTGACTTCATGCGTGTTCCGCACGAGTACAAACACAGATGCTGAGACACTGAAACACGTGTCCTAGCTGCTGCATTTCCAAAGGTGCGGTTCAGTGGCCGTGACCTGATGCATGTTGTGAGGGCTCTTCTTTCTAAGTTAACTGAGGAGGCAGTTTCCTACAAAGACCAACTTTCAGCTCTGGCCCAAGCCCACAGCAAAAGGGAAAGTCCTCTGACACCAGCACAAGGAAACCATTTTCCATGTGGAGCCACGCTGTGCAGGCAGGGCAGCTCTAAGCTGAGATTCCTGCCTCGACCGAAGTTGCGCTCTCACGTCTGAAGCGTGGGCCTACCTGAAAGCCGTGCTTGCCTCTCCAGCGGGGGCTCAGCTCCTGAGGCGGCATCTCGATGACGCACACGAGGTCTCCCACCTGCAAGAGATTGCAACGTCAATCCCAGCTTCGGCACGGCGGGGAGGAAAGCGCAGCTCAAATGACTGCATTCTTCTGCACTGCCCAATATCGTCAAGCTTGAGAGCCATTGCACCAGTGCAGCTCTTCAGGCATTTGCAGTCGTACAACTGAACGTGGAAGTAGAAGAGTCACTCCAATACACAACATACAGAATTCAGCTGTTCAGCATGAAATGGTTCTCAAAAGCAGCAGGCTCTTTGCCCAAGGGAGAGCTCCAATTAAACCACAGGCCTAAGTCAGCCGAACAGAGCCTGAACAGATCTGCACACTCCATACACTGGTCTGCCATTGCTCAGAGACCAGGCTACCACACCGGGGAGTTGCTCTTGGATCAGAAGATCCAAATGCAAAATAGAGCCATATTTTAGAGATGGCTTAACTCCTCCCTGCATCCAACCCAGTGCAAGTCTGATCTGGAACTGAATCTTCTGGGCTTCACCTCACCAAACATTCTGCAGGTGTCTGAGAATATTCCTGATAGCTTCACATGTTATACTCTTCTGTACACGACAACTAGGAATGCCGTTAACTGCTTACCTCCAAGGAGAGTTCATCCGGTGCCTGGGCAACGTATCTCTTAATAACATGGGCAGCAGCAATTGCTGGGATATTAAGAGATGACTCCTCACGGACCAGCAGGGGCTTCCCGTTGTTCTCAGCCTGAAACAGAGAGCACAGGCCACGGTGAGGAGCTGAGGGCTGCAAGGAGGATTTCAGGGTGAGGAGCACATCGGCAGAGAAAGCTGCAGGAAATGCACTCGGTCCTTATCATAAGCACTTAACAAGAAACTGCAAGTCTAATAACAGCTGTTTCTCTTTCCAGTGCGCAGTGCCAGGCAGTGCAAAGATGCATCTCTCTCTACCCAGACTAAGAGGACAAACTCCACAACCGAGACGGCTCCAGCAGTTTTATAAACTTGCCATGCTTGCACTACTGCCTTCCCAAAGAGGAGCGTAAGAGTCTGCTCACTTCCTGTCACCCATTGCCTGGAGACCTCAGCCGTGGACTGGACATAGCAGCCGGTCCACTGACCCAATCCTTGGCTCATTACAAGTGCCACCTTTCTTGAACTTGCTGAATATGAGAACAGCACTTTGTCTGTGGGTGACAACATCCAGGCAGGACGGGGAAAATGCTTCTGCACATTTACAACACCGGATCTGATTCTGTTGGTACTATGACTTCCACAGCCATCTAGATGCCTGCCGCAAGGACATGAAGCTTTTAAGGCAGCTTTTCAGTGACACTGATAGAGCCACAAGGATTCGTTCTCTCTTGAAAAGCAGGAGAGCACATCTGCAGCTCACTCTGCTGGCTCAAATCAGGGAACAAAGACCAATCAGAGCTTCATACTCTACCTCCATCCGTGCCATGTCAGGCCCACAGCTGATCTCGCTGCACGCGACGCCCATCACAGCAGGCACGACAAGCTGGAATGAAAAGAAACACGCTCATATTTTCTCTGGTCACACACCACGCTATTGAGAGACTTCCTCAGAACTACCCTCAGTTACCCACTGGAATAGGCAGGTGTTCTAGAAACAGCCACTTTGTTCAGTCAAATCAAACGAGACAGCCTACTGGGCAGCATTTGACCAAGCGGCTGTCCCTCTGCTAGCAGATGGGGACTGGCACAAGGCAGCAGGTGCTCAGAGCACTCCGACAGCGCAGCAGCAGGGCAGTGAGAGGAGTCACTGCTGGGGGTGGATCTGCTCCCCAGCCCCCGGCTCCCACCAGCCTCACGTCCAGCGCCGGCCGCAGCCTCGCACATGGATTTCCTCTGCTCACATCTCTGCTGTGCTCCCCACAGCTGCCGGGCACACTCACGCAGCCGAAGCGTGCTTGCTTGTGTCCCTGGGTCATGCTGTGCAGCTCTGCACAAACTGGGGCTTGCACTCTTTGCCTAAGGGATTGGTTTCCTTCAGACCAGCTGGTCACAGCACCACGCACAGCATCCTTCTGAAGGTGGAGCTGGAGGGGAAGTGGAAAAAACCCACACAGGACCAGTGTCCCATCAAAGCTGGGTGAGGCTGTGTTACCAAACATGGTGCGACACAGTGCTGGTCAACCACGTGGGGGGACAAAGCGTGGCACGTACCTGGCAGGAGATCAGAACAAGGTAGACAATTCCTTGAACTCGCAGCTGTTTCTTGTCACTTTGCTCTGTTCTTCCACGAGCGAAAGCTGCACCAAGGGAGCAGGTAGAGGAGAGAGAAGGAACAGGTCTGTGAGCTTGCACAATGGAGCAAAGACGACAAGGAAAAAACCATGGAAAAAATGCCATCTTTGTGGATCGCTTGGGAATACAGGTACTGGGTGAAAGTTACGTCTGATGGACAAGAGTAAGCAATATGACACTACGAGCTCCACCAGCCAGCAGTTCTCAACACCTCACTGCCCACCCCTCTATCCCACGCCCTGTCTCAGCTTACCTACAAGATGCTGCACAAGACACAAGGGGTGAAAATGAAGGCACTCAGTCGCTGCACAAGGGCAACAAGCGAGCTACTCACGCAGAGCTCAAGCGCTCCAATGAAGGGACGCAGCACGCACTGCTCCTCCCCTCATTCCAGCCTCTTGTGACATCACTAAGGGCCACCAGGCTGCTCCGCCATGACGACAGGGTGGGGAGGCAAGACCATGTCACAGGACCAGAAGATTCCAACACCGCACCCAACATTCTAGAATCAGCGGAATTCTACCTCAGCCCAATCCTGCAGAAGCTGCCATGCGGTTGTCATGACCACAGCGCAGGACCCAGCGCTTGCTCCTCTGCAGCCTCGTACAGCTGGCCTCAGGCCATCCCTGGATCTGAGGGCTTTGTGGAAGGGGATATATTTCAAATGGCACCGACGTTTTCAGACCATTTCTCTTTCGGCATGGTCCCAGCACCTGGCATGCTGATCATCATCCTGAATATACATTTTGTCAAAGTTCTACAACCAATGAAATAGTTCCTTACCAAACGCAATCTGATCACTCTTCTGGCCATATTTTGTTCCAGCTACCGCTTCCTGCGGGAGGCACCAATAGCGCTGCATCACCTATAGCTCTCTGCTCTTACAGTTCTCATGCTGTCTGGGCAGTCCTCGTGGCCTCACAACTCTCTCATGCCACACGTGCCACATTCTGAGGCACAGAAGATATATTGCACTACTTCAAACGCCTTTTTTTTTTTTAATATAATGATACTAGGGATAATCATCTGGAGCTAGAGCAATATGAAAAAATTCCCTTTAGTTCAACCATAAGTCTGCCCCATGGACTCCAGAAGAGCTCTAAGAATATGCAGGGTGGACATGGATGGCAGCTGCTATAACAGTAAGCAATGAAAAATGAGGTTGTGAGCCATGCTGTGTCATTGCATCTGCGGGCAGGGATTCTCCGTGGACTGAGCAGAGTGCAGATGTCGCCTGAGAAAAGAACTTAGGATCATTCAGGAAAAGCAAATGAGTTGAGTAATTAATTGAAGAAACTCACGTTCTAAAGGTACTTAGAAGGAGAGAGTATTTCCCAACAGAATGGGTTTAACTGTCCATTCCCTGTTTTGTTAGACAGGTCTACTCTATGGATGCTTAGACTGACCTGAGAGGGCATGCTTCAGCACACCCCACACCACTGCATTAGAGTGTGCTTTTGTGCACACGTGTATCTGGAGACATCACTAAGAATTTAATTGGTCCACCCAATCCTTAAGCAACTCAGTAATTCAAGACACCTAACAAGGATGGAGGCTCACTGGGCCATGGGCAAAGCAGGGAGGACAGAGGCAGGAAGCAGGAAGGAGTTCAACTCCAGCTCTCTCCCACAAAAGACTGGGAGAGCTGAGTCAGCACCACGGGAGGAGTTACGACACAGCTTGGGAGCTTACAGAGACCTGAGATTGCCAAAGGACGGCGCCAGGGTAACTCTCACCAGTCCTGTGCAGGGGTTTCATGGATGCTTGGGATGCTGACTTGCACTGCCTGTGTCACTGGTAGGAAGTCCAGGTGACAAAGGCTCCTACTGTCTGGGTAATGCTTCTATGGTTCCATGATTATGACTGGAAAAAAATTAAAATTTAAAATTTAAAAAAAAAAAAAAAAGCATGCAACGTTATAAAATTTACCTCTCTGCTCTTCTTGTCAGCACGACATCTAAGATGAGCATTACACGTCCCTGCATCTGATTGAAAAGACATCCAAGCCTATGTTCCACACAGCTTCATCTCAGTGCCAAGAAGAAACACACACACAGACGTTTACAAGATTCTTTGCACAGATGAAAAGCATGGGGTGCACGTGTATTCTCTTCAGTAATAAATGGTCATGTAGAATCCAAAGGTAACTTTCCAAGAACTAGATGAAAGAACAATGAAAAGGAAATATGGGATTAACTATTTTCATCTAAAAAAATCCTTGCTAAACCTCTCCGCTTACACCTTACACTGCAAAATGCAGCACATTCTTTTTGTCCACAGGCCCCTCATTTCTCTAACTGGTGTCAGATTCACTCAAAATACATGCACCAGAACGGCCATTCAGTCCTGCTGAGGTAGGAACCCACTGCTGGGATGTCCCCCAGTCCCGTTCCCTGCTATTTCCAGCATCGGGGGGGGGGAAAGGAAGAGCAACTGACTTCACCTACCCAGGCTTCTGCGAGGCCTTCGATACGGCCACACATCACAGGGAAAAGCATGGGGGAGAGCTCTGGTGGCTGCACAAACCAAGGTTGCCCCTACGATGGTGCTTTATAACAACATGCCTTACTGCACATGAGACACGAAAGACAAGGTTAAGGTTAAAAAGACTCCACTCTCCGTGGATGTGGCTGTCTGCACAGACAACAGCTGCCTACTGTCCAGCAGCCTGATGCTCACCCACCAAAGCTCTCACCAGCAGATGCCTTTCATGGAAACATAAAATTAGCAAGGTTGGAAAAGATCTCTAAGATCATCCAGTCCAACCGTCCACCTGCCACCACCATTTCCCACTAAGCCCCTTATGTCCCTCAGGACAACATCTAATGTTTCTTGAACACCTGCAGGGACAGTAACTCTATCACCAACCTGGGCAGCCCGTTCCAGCGTCGGACCACTCCTGTGGAGAAGTGTTTCTTAACATCCAGCCTCAATCTCCCCTTGTGCAACTTGAGGCCGTTCCCCCCAGTCCTATCGCTGCTTACATGGGAGAAGACGATGAGCCCTACCTCGACATGACCTCTCTTCAGCTAACTGTAGAGAGGGATAAGGTCTGCCCTGAGCCTCCTCTTCCCCAGACTAAATAATCCCCATTCCCTCAGCTGCCTCCCCATAACACTTGTGCTCCACACTCCTCACAGCTTCACTGCTCTTCTCTGGACACATTTCAGGGTTCCAATGTCTTTCATGTAGTGAGGGACCCAGAACTGAACACAGCACTCAAGTTGAGGACTCACCAGAGCTGAGCACAGGGGGATGATCACATCCCCGCTCCTGCTGGCTCCAGCCCTTTGCACTGCACTTCCAATCTCAACCATCCCTTCTGCGGTAGCGCTTGCATCCTCACTTAGGGCTGGAGCTCAAGAGCTCAACGCAACAGGAACACAGCGTGCAACTGGAAGATGCATCTCAAAGCTGACAAGAGTCACCTCTCTGACCTTGGGCACAACTCACCAACCGAGAGCCAGGCCTTGCAAACTTGGCTCATCTGAGCACATCAGAGGGGGCTGCACATCAGACCACAAGCATCCATTTCAATTGCAGCTCCATGTAGAGAAGAACAACGATTAACATGCGTGAATGAATTCACTCACAAGCTGCACGAATTTGTTCTTCATTAAAAAACCCACATGGATTCCTAAGCCAAAAAGAGAACAGCAAGAGCTAATAGTGATGGAAGAGGTTCCTGGTCCTAAACCTCATTCTCTTACCCCAATTTTCCTTGCCTCGTACCCTACCCCAATTCCTGGACGATGCCCACGGACTTAAACTCAGACCTCAACTCCATGAGCTGAACATGAACAAATCTACCCCAGAGCAACAGGATGGCAGACACACAGCGGAAGACAACCAACCTGCAGAACCAGCTCCATTGGGGTTGGTCCAGATGTTTGTATGCTCCCTTCCATGGCTCAGGCCAAGCTTGCTGAGCTGCTCCTCCTTTGTGCAGGGGGAGAGCGGCGCGGATGCTATGTGCTGGCTGTGCATAGTGTGCCTTTGACTTGATTTTCCTCTCTCCATCTTCCATTAGCAAACAACATTTCAAACCTTTCCTCGTGAAAAAATCACCTATGTAAAAAAGAATTGGCAATATTGCTTTTGAAGTTTCCTTATTTGTACAATTTGATGTTTTAAAGCAGAAGCTCACCTAGCAATGACCTACCTTAGACAAGCCCAACCTGCAGGGAAAAGTCATTCCTCTGGGTGCAGAGTCTGCAGACACATTTCCAGGTCCAAGTGTCAGCCCACTTCTCAGCACAGCTTTACCAACCACAGAAATCCAGTTGATGCCTGCCATGCTTTTCTCCCTTCTGAAACACTGCATCGCTGCAAGAAGCAAAGATTAAAATTACAGAACCACAGAACTGGGGTTGCAGGGGACCCCCAGTGATCATTGAGTCCAAGCTCCCTGCAAAATGGGCTCCCTACAGCGGGCCGCGCAGGTGGGTGTCCAGGAGGGTCTGGAATATCTCCAGACAAGGAGAAGCCACAGCCTCCCTGGGCAGCCTGTTCCAGCGCTCCATCATCCTCGCCGTGAAGAAGATCCTTTGCATTTTGGTGCAGAACTTCCTGTGCTCCAGTTTGTGGCCATTTCCCCTTCTCCTGTCCCCACAGATCGCTGACAAGAGGTTGGCCGTGTCCTTTGGACTCCCACACTTAACAAATACATAAGCATTAATCAGATCTGCTCTCAGTCTTCTTTCCTCAAGGCTGAACAGACCCAGGTCTCCCAGCCTTTCCACAATGGGGAAATGCTCCAGGCCCTTTATCACTTTCCTGGCCTTCTGTTGGACTCTCTCCAGGAGATCCCTGTCATTTCTGTACAGGGAACCCAGAACTGGATGCAGTACTGCAGGTGAGGCCTGACCAGGGCAGAGCAGAGAGGGGGGATCACCTCCCCTGCTCTGCTGGCCGCGTCATCTCCTCGCACAGCAATTAAAGACCACTGTGATGTTATAGGAGGGTTTGGTGTCCTCAGTGGGTGAACCCAGCACCTGCCTGTATGGCAGCATGTGGCCTTTTGGTTCCAACAGCAATCCAAACCCCAAAGAATCAGGGAGGGACCCAGAGAGCCCCACAGTGACCTGGGAGCCACAAGGGCCCCACAAGTGACACATCAGCACCCCGTGAGTGACAAACAACTGAACTACAAGTGCCCCATAAGTCCCCCATAATTGACCCATCAGCACCCTGTGAGTGACAAACAACTGAACTACAAGTGCCCCATAAGTCCCCCATAATTGACCCATCAGCACCCCATAAGTGCCCCACAAGTGTCCTGTCACCAACAAGTGCCCCCCAGTGCCCCACAAGTGACTCACAAGTGGCACAGCAGGGACCCACAAATGAGACACACGGGCCCAGAAGTGCCCCACAGCAGCCTGGGACTGTTAACTGGCAAAGGGACCAGGAATTGACCCATAATTGGCCCACAAGTGAGGCAGCAGAGACCCACAAAAAACCAACAGCAGCCTGTGCCCCAAAAGTGACACATCAGCACCCCATAAGCGATCCATAAGTGACCCACAGGTCCCACATCTGCTTCCATGGCTGCGTTGTTTCCACCTGTGCTCGCAGGGCTGCACCCCTCAGTTGCTCCAGCATTGCTTCACATGCACTCCCTGTACAACTCGCCTACCATCCCATTTTGGGGGCACCAACCCCCACCCCGCTGTCACAGCCGTGCACCGAGGGCACCATCACCCCACTGCGCACGGCCATCAACTCGTCCCAGGATTCCACGCACCCCACAGGCAGCCCCCAACGCGCGGAACTGCCCCTGCCTGTCGCTGAGTCCCGCAATCAATTCTGCAGCAAAGTTCTTGCCGCGGTCTCTGCTGCCACCGCGTGGCCAATGCGCGGAACTGCAGCTGCCTGCCACCGAGTCCCGCCAGCGGCATAACGCATGCGCCTAGAAATGCGGAAGTGCCGTTCTAACCTCTCTGCGCAGCTAATCCGCCGCTCTCTATGGTGATCAGTCCTCCAGACAACAGCGAACGCGCGCCCGTCACCTTAAAAAGAACATCTGTTTCGAAAAACCACTGCGGGAACAGGCAAGCAGCCGATTCTCGCACCGCGGGCTCAGCGATATTTATAATCCACGATGCCCCTCCTCTATTTCCACCATTTTATGCCCGAGCCCACCCGGGAACAGACCGGTTCGGCTCACAGCTGCCCTTCAGCGCCTCGTGGCATCCAACCTGCTCGCCTGCCCGTTGAACTGGCAAACGTCTCCTTCCGCCCCAGCCCTGCACCATCCCCCGGCCATTTAAAAGCCCTCGCAGCGGCAGTGCAACACCGCTTAGAGCGGCTCGGAGCTTCTCGATCGCGCTACCGATGTGCAGCAGCACCGACACGAGCATGTCTCGAGAAAGCAACACATATGACTAAATCCAGGCACTGTAACGCGCTACATACACGCGCCGGTTTCTGCCCCGCACGGCGCATGCACCAGCTCAGTACCGAGCTACGCATGCGGCTTCTTGGAACAGCACTGCGCATGCGTCTCGCGCAGCGGGCAGCCCGCATGCCCAGATTCCATGACTACAGTACGCATGCGCCTTCTAGACATCGCACTGCGCATGCGCACAAGATGCATGCGCTTTTTCACAGCCCGCTGTGCATGCTTAACCCCCTACCAATACAGCAATGCGCATGCGTTAGCTTTCGATTTCGCAGCGCACATGTGACGATATCATCTCTGCACGGCGCGTGCGCCCCTCTTGATACGGTACTGTGCATGCGCCAGCCTCGCAGCCATTATGTGCATGCACAGTCCTCATCACGCACTGCGCATGGGCGAGCTGCACTTCCGCAGAGTGCATGCGCCTTTTTCGTCATGGCAGTACGCATGCGCCTGTCCGGCCAACAGTGCGCATGCGTCTCTTTCTTCGTCGTTAAGCGCATGCGCCTTTCTCGCAGCAGCGCTGGGCATGTTTTCGCCTCCAATCATCTCTACGCAAGCACCAGCGGTTCGCTTTGCACTGCGCATGGGCAACTCTTGGCACAAAGTGCGCATGCGATTTTTTTTCGGAAATGCACCGCGCATGCGTCAGCTCCCTCGCCGCCGTGCGCATGCGTCAGCTCCCTCGCCGCCGTGCGCATGCGTCAGCTCCCTCGCCGCCGTGCGCATGCGTCAGCTCCCTCGCCGCCGTGCGCATGCGTCAGCTCCCTCGCCGCCGTGCGCATGCGTCAGCTCCCTCGCCGCCGTGCGCATGCGTCAGCTCCCTCGCCGCCGTGCGCATGCGTCAGCTCCCTCGCCGCCGTGCGCATGCGTCAGCTCCCTCGCCGCCGTGCGCATGCGTCAGCTCCCTCGCCGCCGTGCGCATGCGTCAGCTCCCTCGCCGCCGTGCGCATGCGTCAGCTCCCTCGCCGCCGTGCGCATGCGTCAGCTCCCTCGCCGCCGTGCGCATGCGTCAGCTCCCTCGCCGCCGTGCGCATGCGTCAGCTCCCTCGCCGCCGTGCGCATGCGTCAGCTCCCTCGCCGCCGTGCGCATGCGTCAGCTCCCTCGCCGCCGTGCGCATGCGTCAGCTCCCTCGCCGCCGTGCGCATGCGTCAGCTCCCTCGCCGCCGTGCGCATGCGTCAGCTCCCTCGCCGCCGTGCGCATGCGTCAGCTCCCTCGCCGCCGTGCGCATGCGTCAGCTCCCTCGCCGCCGTGCGCATGCGTCAGCTCCCTCGCCGCCGTGCGCATGCGTCAGCTCCCTCGCCGCCGTGCGCATGCGTCAGCTCCCTCGCCGCCGTGCGCATGCGTCAGCTCCCTCGCCGCCGTGCGCATGCGTCAGCTCCCTCGCCGCCGTGCGCATGCGTCAGCTCCCTCGCCGCCGTGCGCATGCGTCAGCTCCCTCGCCGCCGTGCGCATGCGTCAGCTCCCTCGCCGCCGTGCGCATGCGTCAGCTCCCTCGCCGCCGTGCGCATGCGTCAGCTCCCTCGCCGCCGTGCGCATGCGTCAGCTCCCTCGCCGCCGTGCGCATGCGTCAGCTCCCTCGCCGCCGTGCGCATGCGTCAGCTCCCTCGCCGCCGTGCGCATGCGTCAGCTCCCTCGCCGCCGTGCGCATGCGTCAGCTCCCTCGCCGCCGTGCGCATGCGTCAGCTCCCTCGCCGCCGTGCGCATGCGTCAGCTCCCTCGCCGCCGTGCGCATGCGTCAGCTCCCTCGCCGCCGTGCGCATGCGTCAGCTCCCTCGCCGCCGTGCGCATGCGTCAGCTCCCTCGCCGCCGTGCGCATGCGTCAGCTCCCTCGCCGCCGTGCGCATGCGTCAGCTCCCTCGCCGCCGTGCGCATGCGTCAGCTCCCTCGCCGCCGTGCGCATGCGTCAGCTCCCTCGCCGCCGTGCGCATGCGTCAGCTCCCTCGCCGCCGTGCGCATGCGTCAGCTCCCTCGCCGCCGTGCGCATGCGTCAGCTCCCTCGCCGCCGTGCGCATGCGTCAGCTCCCTCGCCGCCGTGCGCATGCGTCAGCTCCCTCGCCGCCGTGCGCATGGGGACTCTTTTTGGTGCAAAATTCGTATCTGTTTTTGCATGCTCGTTGTTGGCCATCGATTCGTTATGCGGGGGCGGCAGAGATCGCGGGAAAAACTTCTTTGCATTTCCGCCTATTGGCCACACGATGACAGCCAAGACCGTGGAATAAATTTTGCTGCAATTTTGCCGATTAGCCACACGGCGGCAGCAGAGACCGCGAAGTGAAATTCGAATGTGTGAAAACACAGAAAATAAATTTGGGGGAAGGGAGACGACGAAGAAAACGAGGAAAACTTCGACAAAGCCACCAAACCTGCGCTCAGTACTTATGAATACCTGTCAATAAATAATAATAAATAATAACTAGAAAATTGATGTTGTCGTGATTTTTATTCTTCTTTTTTTCAGCCAGTGTCCCAGGTGATGAAAAACCCAGAGTCAATCTGACAGATGCGTGCAGCAAAGCAGAACGATCCAAAAGAGACACAGAACATAATTTAAATACGTGCCCTTCAACAATACTCAGCATGGGTGGAATTATTACATAGCACAGGAGACATTGATGGGACATAGGGAGAGGACGCAGAAAGGACACAAAGACACAAGCGGGACACGAGGACACAGAGGGAATGAGGAGGGGGACGCAGAGGGTACATGTCATAAAATGCATTGGGACAATGTGGTAGCAGACAAACCAAGTTTGGAGTCTCAGGTTGGAGATTATGCAATGAGAATCATGGAAGAGGAAACAGAGACTTCACAAGAAGGTATTGAGCTTAAAAAGATTTGCAAAGGAAACCCTAAGAACGCAGAATCCCTTTAAAGAAAGGTGCATTAGCTCCAGGCATTTCCAGAGTTGCACTGCTCA